TTTAGAGGGAGTGGAAGAGAGAGGGAAAGACAGAGAGAAATATTGATAAGAGAAACACATGGATTGGTTGCCTCCTGCATACATCCCAACCAGGGTTTGGCTGGGGAGGAGCCTGCAATTGAGGCCTGTGCCCTTGACGAAATCGAACTCAGGACTTCTCAGTCTGCAGGCCGATGCTCTATCAACTGAGCCAAAATGACTAAGCCTCCAGGTTTAATTGTTAAATGATGAAATTTTTAGGGGTGGTTGTAAATGAGATTTCAAATAAATAAAATGGAGTCATGTGGATTAAATATGACTTTGGGGGGAATAAAAGGCTTGGTAACAGAAGGGAACCAGAAGTGGGAGTGATGGCTAAGATCACAGTTAGGCTGACCACTTACTAGGGTTCAGGTTGAAGGGCTCTGAGAAGACACCCAGAGAGGAAGTAGTATGGTCTTGCATTTGGGGGAACTCTAGTAGGGGGAGGAACTGTCCTGAGATTTCTACACCTTCCCTGACTGGAGCTCACTGTAGCTGAAAGGACCTGAGAAGGGATCCTCAGACCTGTGGACTCTCAGCATTTTGAGGACTCCATTAATAAGAATCTAAGCATGTACCCTACATACTCCATGTTTTTAATTAGAAGTTATATACAAGCACTCCTGCACTAATATACCATGTACACCATAAGAGAGGGAGAATCAACTTAAAAAGAATGATGTAAAACAAACAGAAGCTCTACTATTTTCATCTCCCATACAACTAAGTAGGTCACCTTGTTTGTCCCTTTGTTCTCTGCACATGTCCTGAGTCTGTGCAGCAGGCCCCCTTATCTGCAAGGGATATTTCCAGACCCCCTAGTGGATGCCTGAAACTATGTGTGGTACTGGGACTTATATACTGATATTATGTTTATTTTCTCTACATACATACCTATGATAAAGTTTCATTTACAAATCAGGCATAGTAAGAAATTAACAACAACAACTAATTATAAAATGGAACAAATACTTTAGTACATTGTAATAAAAGTTATGTGAATGTGTTATCTCTCTTTCCCAAAATATCTTGTACTGTACTCAAACTTTTCTTTTAAAAAATATTTTATTGATTTTTTTTTACAGAGAGGAAGGGAGAGAGAGTTAGAAACATCTATGAGAGAGAAACATCGATCAGCTGCCTCCTGCACGCCTCCTACTGGGGATGTGCCTGAAACCAAGTACATGCCCTTGACTGGACCTTTCAGTCCACAGGCCAAACTGGTTAAGGCTATATTCATTCAAACTTGCCATGTAAGAAGCACTTTACGGCTTCTCGTTGGCATATCTCAATTGCCAGCATCACTACTCTTATACTTTGGGGCCATTATTAAGTAAAATAAAGACTTTTTAAACATGGCACTGTCCTGCCTCTGTAGTAGATCTGGTAACTAAGGCAGCTACTAAGTGACTAATGGGCGGGGAGTGCATACAGCATAGGATTCACTAGACAAAGGGATAATTCACCTCCTCATCAAAAGAGAGCAGGTCTGCCTGAGATTTCATCACACCATTAGAATGGCATGCAATTTAAAACCTATAAATTGTTTGTCTGGGATTTTCCATTTAATATTTTCTGACCGTGGTTGACTCTGGATAGCTGAAACCAGGAAAAGGAGAACTGCGAATAAGGAGGAGTGACTGCATACATAAGGACCAGAGTAACTGCACCCAGTTGATCATGTTCATGTCTCACGGGCAGCCCATACTTCTCAAATGGTGGTTGATTGAAATGGTTATGATCACAACATCCAGGTGACTTGTTGACTGAGGTGTAGGAGACCTGCCCAGTAGCATCAATGAGAAAACTTTGGAAGAATGATTTTTTTGTGTTCTAATGTAGAAACTCTGCCTACAAGCTTCATCTCATTTTATTAGACATTTCTGCTCTCCACTTCCAATATATAATTACTCCTGGAGTGATGAATTTTTTAGTGCTATTCAAGCTATCGGGCTAAAGTTAGGTTTTATATCTTGCTTACGCCATGAAGATTACAGATTTGACCACATTTTCCAAGGAGTTAAGATTTTCAGGACATTTCCTCTACCTTAAATGGCCAAAGAATTTCACAGCCTTTAGCTTCAGAAATGCAAACTGACAACAGAAACCCACATTCTTTTAGTTACCTTTTTACCTTAATGAAGTTCACTTTTTGCACATAGTGATCAGGTGATTTAGTCACACCCTCTCAGATTAAGAAAGGAAGGCCCAGGGAGGGCAAATGACCATGTAGAAAACAGACGAACCAGAGCTAGAGCCCACGGTTCTCACCGTGGACTAGTTCTCTCTAGTCACCTCTGGGTCTCAGCTCTCCTCTTCAACTGCTTTGGCTTCCGGATAAATGAGTATGTCCCTTGGGTGTGAGTCAGTGGCCGCACTTCCTCAAAGAAGACCTTGGGCACAGACTTGGCCTATTCAACTGGTTCCCTGAACTCTGTACAACACTGTCAACCTGTGAAACACTCTTAAGTCCTCTCTTTTAGGCCCAGTTTCTATAAGCTGGCTAGAGATGCCCAGGGTCTTGATACAGGAAGTAAACTCCCTATAAGAAAGAGTGCACAAGGAATGAAGTAGACTTAGAGTGAGGATGCAGGCCAGCTCAATACCTTGACCATGCCCAACACTCCCCTTGGTACTCCTATCTTTCTCTCCTTCCTCAGTGTGTCTTCTCCTTCTCATGACCAGGGTGAGAGGGTTGGAGGTGGATGCATACTGTGGTAAGCCCACAGTACTATGGAGTTTATGAATTCTAATCAGTACTGAAGTGTTAGAATATGAAGGGTTGGGAAAGGGTAGATTTTATAAGGATGAGGCTTCAAATGCAGCAAACTTTCCCAGTGCATGGATACTCTAGTCTCCTCCCACCTTTGTGTTTTGTCACCATTACTGTCAGCCAGCCATGGTTGACTTATGTGGATATGGATTCAGACAGGAAAAGCTGGAAATTGTCTCTCTTTTCGGGACTATGTCCTGAGACAACAATGGCCTTTTGGCGAGTGGAATGGCTCTGCAGTGGGCAAGCCAAATGGCTAGCCACACACATCTGCACCAGCTGCACACACATCAGCTTTCTATATCTCCCATCTTCCTCTCTCCACAGAAGATGCCAACTTGGACAGCCAGATGTGCCTGCATCGCACATCTGCAGAAGTCTTCCATTTCCCATATACCTAGAGCTCTGCTTGCACTGCAGCAAAGCTGGGGAAATGAGACCCGAGAGCACATGGTGGAACTGAACTTTGAGAAGTGGGGCTGAAATCAAAGATACACTCCTTCTCTTTTTCCTGCACTCCTCATCCCCCCTCCCCCCCAAAACAGCCCTATTTATATTAGGTATAAAACTGAAGAGCTGGTCAGGCATCAGCCAAGCACTGTATCCACTCACCCCACCCACCTTCAGAGAGAAACCTGGCCATCTGCAGCGGAGGAGAGGAGACTTGGGAGTCCAGATCCTTGTCTCCAGTTCCCTAATGTATGCATGTTAAGAGGCCTGAAACTTTGAGTAGCTTCAGAAAAAAGAGAATAAGACCCATGGTGGGAGTTGTATGGATAAAGAGTTCAGGTCAGCAGAAGGTAGAATGTTTAACAATCAGGCTCTGCAACAATGGCACCAGCCCTCCAGAGGGCTGGGGGTAACTATCACCGAGGAATTAAGAGAGATTGGGATGCCAGCCTGTGGATGTGCACCATATTCACTGACCAATGGGGAAAGGATGGGGAGGAGTAGATGGGTAGATATTTCATCCCATGATTCTAAAGACTACAGAATTCAAGGACAAATCATCTGTCAGTGTAACTATTCTATACAGCTCTGTAAGATTAAAACAACATCCGCCAGGAGGAAAACAAATTAATTATGGGAAACTGTCCTTAAGTAACAAAATAAATCAGGTGGCAGGGAAGAACCCCAGCAGCTCCCGTGGATGGCATCTGTGGCCCCGTAACCTCTTTGGATACCAGTTGCCTCAGTTGTCCTGGTGAAGGTGATAATGAAAGCTACTGATAGGATTGTGGGGACAAGAAAAGGACATAACAGATAACTGAATGTTTACTATGGGCGAGGGACTGTTTTAAATGCTTTGGTTATATTGCTTATATCCTACAACTGCTCATTTTATAAGTACAGAAATACAGGCATAGAAAATAAGTGAGTTTCTCAAGGCTGCACAGCTAGGAAGAGGGAGAGGAGAGTGAAACCCAAGAGATGTCTACACGTTGCACCCAAACACTTAGCACAGCGCCTGGGTCACAGTGGGGTTCATGATGAGTATTATTACAGAGGCAACACAATATGGTCGTTGAAAGGGAGCGTTCTGCAGCCAGTCTATGTGACATCAGTCTATGTGACGCCATACAGGAAACTGTTCTCTATACCTGGTGTTCTTATCTGTAAAATGGGCACAAAATGTCCATTTCATAGAGAGCTTCGGAGATTAAGTGATTTAATGCATGTTTCATGTTCCGAAGAATGCCTGGCAAATAATCAGTGCTCTACAACATAAGCTAACACCATATAAACATGCTCTAGATTACACACACATCCAGGTGTTAATATAACACTCTCTATGTTCATGTCTGTAATGTACACAAAGGGCAATCACTCAAAAGTCACAGCTTAATGACGAGGCATCATTAACAGCCACTGACATCTTCTGGTTGCACAGTATCAGAGAAAGTGCATGTATTAGATTGCTTTGTGCTTAACCAGACTCCAATTGCACACAGGCCCACAATTCCACTGGACGGCCACAATTTTTCTACAGGAGGTTCTTGTCTGGAAACCCTGCCTCTCAGGTTCTCCTTGAACCTCAAGTGAAATTTCCCAGATTTATATGAGTGAAGGGGAAGGGACTGAGAAGAAATGGAATGTTTTCCATAGACTTCCTTCTCTACTAAGCTCTCCAAGAGACACCAGGGACTGGTTTGGGGGTGGACACCTTTTATCCAAATCTGCAAAGCTGGTGGCCCTGCTGTCCTACCTGGTGAGCTTGGTGCCAATCTGCTGCCTCAGCTCCAGCCTCTCTTCATCCGTCTGCCTGGGAAGGATGTTCTTTTCTTCTAGCTCTCGCTTGGAGGGCCTGTTGCTGAGTTTGATGGCTAGGGAGTCCTTCCGGCACACCTTCATGGCCAGGGAGCCTGCGGGAGGGGGAAACGAGTTAATAAAGCTGACATCCACCTGCCCAGGCTCCCACAGGAACAACTGTGAGTCACAATGTGAAAGGCAGGAAGACTGGCTTCACACCTGAGAGTGGGGAAGGACCCAAAGGACAATTCCATAGAGTTCCTGCAAGCAATATGTTGGGTACACCTCGCAGTGTTGAGCATGTGAGGAGCACACTGGAGTCTGTGATTGGATCTTGGCTCTCCAGGGACTGCCAGTATGCAGAAAACACCATAAAGGAGGGACAGACTGGGGGGAGAAAGGACAGAGGCCTTTAGTAACCAGAGGGAGCTTCACAGAGGAGGAGGGGCTGGCACCTGCAGGACAAATGAGATGCGCCCAGGCAGAAGGTTGGTGGATTTCTGCATGTGGGAGAATCTCAGAGGTGATAGATAAACCAGGTCATCACAGGAGACAAAAGAGATCAGTGACCATGGAGCTGGGGTCATGAAGGAAAATAAAGCTGGGCGGACAGTGAGGTCTGTTTGGGATGGGAGTGGAAGTGAGTTCATTAAAATAGGCAATATTCTGGGATAGTTTTTCTTTCAGTGTAAGGAGTTCTGAGCAGCCAGCCAGAGCAGGGCTGCCTTCCATCTGGAACAAATCTATGGTTCTCAACCAGGGGTGATTTGGTTCCGCAGGGCCGTGGGACAACAACGAGGGCACGTGGAAAACACCTAAGAGAATGAAACAAACAAGGAACGCGAAGAACAGAGGCAAGACAGGGTTCTGATCAAGCCTCAAAATTTTATTCAAGAACAACGGTTTATAAGCTCTCAGGCTGGGAGGGGAGGGGTAGGAAAAGGGGGGGGGGTTGTCACAAGGTGATTGACTGAGCGGTGGGTACTTGTTCTTAGCTGGTTGGCTATTCCAATGTGGGAGGGATAACAGTTTTGGCGCGTGCGGGCTTTTTGGCGCTCCGCTCTTGCTCAACCAGGAAGTGGAACTGACCAGGAAGTGAGACCGGACTTTTTCCTTATGGCTCCTGGCACCAGGGGACACTTGGCAAAGTCAAGATACAATTCTGATGGTCAAAACTGGGTTTTGGGGGAGGTGCTTCTCCTATCCAGTGGGCAGAAGCCAGGGATGCTATTAAATAACCCATAGTGCACAGGACAATGAAGTCTAATCTGGTCTAAAATGTCACTTGTGCTGAGGCTGAGAAATGCTGCTGTAAGACATTCGCTTCTCTGGGCAGGAAACAGTGCCCAGGGCTGAGCAGCTGCTCCTTCCTCCCTGGGTCATTTGGGCCTTTGTCCGCCCCTTGTACTCCTCTCATGGATATCACCTTGACCATGGCATTGCCACCAGGACTCCTACCAGCAGCAGGAGGAGATTGGGCAGCAGCAATTTTGGGTGATTCCTCTGGATTTTATTTTGTAGGCTAGTTCTCTCCCTTCCTCACTGGTTTTACAACATGGACTTTGGAATGAGACAGTGGTATCAAACCCTAGGGCTGCCCCTGAGTAGATGTGAGGCTCTGGGCAGGTCACTGGCCTGACCCTTTTCTTCCCCTCTCTGTAAACTGGGCCAATAATGTCCATACTACCACGTGTTGTAAGATGTAGATAACAGAATAAAAATCTTAGCACGTGGCCAGGCACAGTGTATATTCAGTGAAAAGTTGCTATAAGTTCATTTATTAAAAAGTTAACTAAATATCACTCTCTAATCACTTAACTAAAATGTATTAATTATTCTTGGCCAGGATGACAGATTTTGAACTTTGCTTTCTTCATCTCTTCTCTCAGCACATTTGAAGCCCTAAGTAAGAAATTTTAATTCAGGCCTTCTATATTTTGTTGAGGTCTGCTTAAAGTGAATTTGCTGCATACAGAATGGTGAGTCTGAGTATTATGCAGATTCAAATAGAATTTTAGGGTTCCTACCCTTTTTTTTTGAGTGGGGGGGCTACATCTCAAGGGAAGCAGTCAAAGCATAGAAGAGGCATCTAAGTAGCAGGGGGCAGCGTGATGTAATTTAATTTTTAGAGCTTTGGGGATGTTCAGAGGACATTGACCCTTTCATTATACTCATGAAAACACTGAGGCCCTAAGAGGTTAATTGAGCTGCCCCGTATCCCAGGGCCAGTTGACACCAGACCTCGTTAGGACCACAGTGTGGGGCAGCTGTCAGCACTCTTTCTATAAAGGCCACGCCCCATCCCCACTGAAGAGCTGGATGCACTCACTGGTGTACAATGAGCTGTCATCATCCTCGTCTTCCTCCTCCTCCTCCTCTTCCCTTGTGTAGAGACAGGAAGAATCTTCGTAGTCTGAGTCATGAGGCACATTTTCTTTATTGTCATCACATTCAATCACAACAGTTGGCACTTGTCTTATTTCTGGAAGGCCCAGAGGTCCTGCTTTTGTGATACCATCACCCGAGTGCAAACCGGAGCTGTGATAAGAAGTGGGGCAGGGGACTCGCTGCTCAGAGCTGTTCAAAGAGAAGGAGGAGAGAAGACAGTCACTCTGGCTAATGTCTATAAATGCATCAGAACCTTCTTAAAACTCAGTTGTCAATGCCTAAGAGACAAAGGGTCTCCAGGGCAACTGAAGTTTCATTTCTCATCTTAAAGTTAAACATTTGAGGCCAGCAGACTTCTCTGATGGTGGCAGCAGCACAGGGTAGGAGTAGAAATCCTTATTCCCTGTGAATGGATGGTGGTGTCACTGGCATAGCAATGAGAATGTTCCTGAGCTATACAATAAACACTTCAAAATAGTTAAAATGTAATTTTTTGGTCCTGTGTATCTATTGTACAATTAAAAAACTAAAAACACAAAATTAAAAAACACATTTCATTCCATAAACATTTCTGGTTAAGAGTCATACCTCCAAGTGGCAAAGAAAAGTTTCTTTGCCACTGACATGTCTCATAGGAGGAGTAAAAGGATTAATTTGATGGAAAAGTTAGAGATCCAGAGAAGAGAAAATACATGAAGTTATAGCTTTCAGAGTTCCACAGTGTGACTGGTAGAGGCTGAGTGTCGGACAGAATGTTTGAAACTTTATGTATGGAGAGACTCAGGGAAAGAGAAAAGGTGGGACCACAGGGCTGGTGACTCATTCATGCACATCTGGGTGACATGGTCAAGGATGACTTAGAGTTCTCTCCCCTCAGCAGCCACAAGCACCATAATCTGGTTGTTGTTTTTTTTTGTTGTTGCAGGTCAGTTTTCCATGCAGAAATGGAAATGACATTCTTGATTTTCCTGTTTAAATTGAGCCAACTCAAATAAAATGTATTTTTAATGAAAAATTATTTGCTTCATAAATAGGACCCATATAAGTCCATTGTAGGAAAATTAGGAAATATGTAACATAAAAAAGTAGTTTTTTTTTTTTTTTAATAGACTCTATCTTAGGCTCCTAAAGCAATTTAGAATCCTTTTCATGACAGATTCTGAATGAAGTCCAGCAAGAATAATGGGCCAGAAACACACAGCTGAATTTTATAATTCTTCTTCAGATTAATTGGAAGTGGGATTTATATCTTTTATTTAAGGAATTTCTAAAACGTAGAAAATTCAATACATTTACCATCCAAAAGTGTTTGATATTCATAAAATAATGGAGTGTGAAGTTATATATCAATGAATTCACATTAAAATATTTTTATACAAAAGAAAAATCTTATTCATGACATATGAATGCATGATAGTCTCCTTTGAAACTTTCATTTATGCTTTAAATTATTGCTATGTCTAATTTAAATTCAATTAACTTTCTTCCTCCCATTATTTCCTAAGTGCTGTTTTGCTCTTTATATTTTTCACATAACTCTTCGTGACACAAATGGAAAATCTAGTTAACACATTATGAGCTATGACATTCAAGGCAATGAATTCAATCAACTAGAAAAAAAGCCCTTCAACTAAGATTAAATCAAATATTTACAAAACTATATCATCTTATTAAACACTATAGGCCTGGTGCATGAAGATCATGCACTCAGGGTGGGGTGTCCCTCAGCCCAGCCTGTGCTCTCTCGGACATCCTAAGCCAGCAGTCGAACATTCTTAGCGCTGCCGTGGAGGTAGGAGAGGCTCCTGCTACTGCTACTGCCACTGTGCTTGCCAGCCATGAGCCAAGCTTCTGGCTGAGCTTTGCTCCCCCTGTGGTAGCGCAATGACCACCAGGGGGCAGCTCCTGCATTGAGAGTATGCTCCCTAGTGGTCAGTATGCATCATAGTGACCAGTTGTTCCGCTGTTTGGTCAATTTGCATATTGGCCTTTTATTATATAGGGTGAGCAGATAAAGGGGTCCATTTTCCATTTAGTTCAATAAAAATGGTCAAAAGGAAGGCAAAAACATGGTAGATGGTCTCTGGGTGACAAATATAACAGTTGACTGACTGAAAGGTGACTGACTGAGGGCACTAGTGCCCCACCTCACAAGGCACCCCTCCTTCAGGCAACCACACACACTGCATTCAAATTCTACTTGGGATTCCACATGGGGTATTAAAAGAAGCAAGGACAGAGGAGGCAGAAATGTAATTCTATGGTTCATGCTTTGCCCTACCTGTCTTCTCCTCTCCCTATTCTACAAATTAATTAACAATGGCTCCAACAAAGGCACAGAGTGAATATTAGATCTGAGGGATGAAAAGCAGCCAATAGATATTTATGTTTGAAGGGGAAAAGAGTTAGAAACCAGAATGTATGAATTCCTTAAGGCAAAGGGTCCCAAGTGCCTCAAGAGGACTGTGAAAGGAGAAATATGCAAAGAAAGACAACCCCCCCCCAAAAAAAACAAAAACAAAAACAAGAACAAAAAAAAACACAACTCCACAGCCTTACAGGCAGCTGTGATCAACAGGGCCCTATGGTTTCTCTTCCCTCAAAGACATGAGGGAGTGTGAGTCTGAGTAGAATGGGAATAGAAGGCTGATCCCCCAGGTGCTTAGGCACATACTAGGTATCATGTAACCTACTAATTTTGTGAAATAGGGACCAGCCATGGTGATCAGCCACTGCCTGTGCAGGCACTATAGACCCAGCTGGGACCTCACCTGGCCACTAAGTTCATCTGCCTGAGTTGTGACTCTAGAACACATGTGTCAAACACAAGGCCCGCGGGCCAAATCTGTCCCGCCAGGCCTTGCAATGTGGCCTGCACCGCGCTGTCATCACTGCACTCCGCTGCGTTTCCATCACAATGACAGTTTATAACTGTTCAGTAAACCATTTGGCCCACGATTTAGGCTGGATTTTAGATTTTGGCCCCTTCTCTGATTGAGTTCGACACCCCTACTCTAGAACATGATAGAATGTCTACTTTCTGGCCAGCATGGTTCAGTGGCTGAGCATTGACCTATGAACCAGGAGGTGAAACTTTGATTCTTTGTCAGAGCACTTGCCCAGGTTGCAGGCTGGTCCCCAATGGGGGTGGGGGTGAGTGGGGGCTGTAGAGGTAGCCAATCAAAGGTTCTCTTTCATTATTGATGTTTCTATCTCTTCCTCTCCCTTCATCTCTAGAAGAAGAAAAAAAGGAATTAAAAAAAAAAAAAAGAATGTCTACTTCCCCATAATAGTGAAAAGAGTGTTTTCTAGGAAGCTAGGTGAATCCATCAAAAAGGGCTTTTAAATATTCTATTCATAAATACCCATTGATGGCCAACTCTGAGGGGAAGGAGGACAAACAGCCAGATGTGCTCATTTAGCTGGCGACTCTGGAGAAGCACAAAAGAGCAAGAAAAGTCAGATGTGAGTGATGGGTTGGCTGAGGAGAAGGTTGGGAGTTGATTAAGTGACCTCAGATTCAAAAGTTAGATACAAATCTGACTCCAAATTTTGCCACTTACTATTGGTCACATTATCCATGCCCTTATGGAGACCCTCACTTGTTCTTTATAGAAATGGCTTTCCAAATGGTTTCAAGACACCTCCCAGTTTCAGTCTAGTTTCCACACCTCTGTCAGAGCAACTTTCTAAAACTCAGATCTAGTCTCACCGTTAGAACTCTGATTGCCTGCCCTATCTCCAACTACTGCTTCAAGGGTGACAAATGGGAAACCCAATGAACATGTCATGAGCTATACTATTCAAGACAAGGAACTCAGTGTAGCCCCTTATTCCACTTGGACTCCACCCTGGTTGTGGGCAGGAAGGGGAACACACAGTTGAACATCAGTCTTAGCAATGCGGGTTTTATACACTGGAGTTATCACTTAGAAGGTGTTGTCTTCTACGTAACAGGTCTCACTGCTGAAGAAAAGTAAAAACCCAAAAGCAGTCATGCGATGTCTCACACAATTTGGCCCATATTATGAACCCAGCCTCTGTCCCCATACAATTTACCCCTTGATAACGCACAACAATGCATTGCACACTCTTGGACTGGATTGTGCTCCCACCCCACCTTCACCCTAATTTCTATTTACCTTTTCATAACTGGCTCAGGCAACTTGTTGCCTATATTCCTGGAGATCCTGCAATAGTGAAAATTGGGAACATCTGTTTGCTTGCTCACTTTCCTTCCCAACCACTCTGCAGGCTGTGTGAGGGCTGGGACCACATCTAATTCATGTTTATTGTAGATGCCTCGCTCCATGCCTGACACAAACTGGACACTCAGTAATTGCTCATTGTTTTTGCAGAATGAAGGAAATATGGGCCGTGACCATTGATACTCAGGTGCAGTTGTAAGTGATTGACAAATCATTTTACAGGGTATTAATTATGAGATCTGTTCTTTCTTTTCAGGGAGGTGACTGGTGGTGTATTGCAGGGCTGCGGGTGTCTCTGACTTGGTTACCAGTGTTATCAATGGCTTTAATAATGAAAAAGGCATCTTGATCCAATAGGTGGAAGAACTGAGATAGAGAAGGAAAGGAGGGAATGAACAGAGTGAACATTTATTGAACATGTTGCCTACTGTTCTAGAAGTGTTCACATCCAGCATCTCATTTCATCTTTCTAATAACTCTGCAGGAGAGGTGTCATTATCTCATTTTATTAAGCAGGAAATAGAGGCTCCAAGGGGGCAATAAACAGGTACATGAGTACACTGGAAATAAAGAAAGAAGAGAATCTGGACCCACTCTGTTTCAATGAATTATATCCCAAAACTGAATTATGCTACTTGTAAGATTGTGTTCTTTGATTCCACACAAACCCCAATAATTGTACACACATAAGGTGAAGAGAATGAACAACGCGTGTAAAAATGGACATTATTACTTTTTAAATATTTTAAATCTTGCTAGCCAGGGTAAGTAATAGTGTTTCTCACCGCCCCCCCCCCCCCCCCCCCCCCCGCCATGGTCAGGCCATTCCTGGAGCACAGAGTTTAAAGGGTTCATCTTAGACACTGGATTATAATGGTCAGGAGGCGGGAGCAGTCACTTGCTGGTCTATTGTCATGGCAGAGTTGAATACATATCACAGATCATCAAATATTTACTATCTGGTTTTTATGGAAAAAGTTC